CAATGATAATGATGATACCTAGCAGCAATGAATATCTTGATGTAGACGAATACCATGATACAGGTAGGAATATAAAAACTTGAATGATAACAATGATAATGATGATACCTAGCAGCAATGAATATCTTGATGTAGACGAATACCATGATACAGGTAGGATTATAAAAACTTGAATGCTAACAATGATAATGATGATACCTTGCAGCAATGAATATCTTGATGTAGACGAATACCATGATACAGGTAGGAATATAAAAACTTGAATAATACCAATGATAATGATGATACCTAGCAGCAATGCATATCTTGATGTAGACGAATACCATGATACAGGTAGGAATATAAAAACTTGAATGAAAACAATGATAATGATGATACCTTGCAGCATGCATATCTTGATGTAGACGAATACCATGATACAGGTAGGAATATAAAAACTTGAATTATATCAATGATAATGATGATACCTTGCAGCAATGAATATCTTGATGTAGACGAATATCATGATACAGGTAGGAATATAAAAACTTGAATAATATCAATGATAATGATGATACCTTGCAGCAATGAATATCTTGATGTAGACGAATACCATGATACAGGTAGGAATAAAAAAACTTGAATAATATCAATGATAATGATGATACCTAGCAGCAATGAATATCTTGATGTAGACGAATATCATGATACAGGTAGGAATATAAAAATTTGAATAATATCAATGATAATGATGATACCTTGCAGCAATGAATATCTTGATGTAGACGAATACCATGATACAGGTAGGAATATAAAAACTTCCAAACACAGAGTACATCACATATCCAGTAGTCTCACTTAACTAAATAATATCAATAAAAGATTTAATTTAATAATAATTATATGTATGTGTATGTATATCATTGTGTGTAAATACATCTTTATATAATATTAGCTGAAGGGCCCAGCGTTGCCCATTAGAAAAAAAATTTTAAAGAACCTGTCAAATCATTCGTTGGGATGTTTAGAAAGATGAAAATTTCCCTGTATGATAATTGAAGGACTGCAGTATGGTTTTGGGGAATTATATTGGCGTACAAAGCCTAGGGGTGTCAGAAATGATTTTTTTTGCATATTTTTAAAAACTTCTATATTAATTAGCGTAAACAGTCTCTTTAATCTATGTTTAATTAGCGTAAAGCACCAATTGAATCTTGAAACTATAATTAATTTTGTTTTGTCAACTTTACTCAAACTTTCTTATTAAACCTGGCAGAATAAACTTTTATTCTAATTCCCTAAACTTGACAAGTTTTTGCATTTTTATTAATGGATCACTGAGGGCTTTAAACAGATTGAAAACGAGTCAAATAGTCTACTCTGTCCTGCAAATAGGGTTTCCAAATTTTCGGTCAGTCTCTTTCGCAAAAATTTCGTTCAGCCAACGAAAATGTAAACAAAAACGAAAATTTTCGTTCATTTTCGCGAAATTCGTTCGAAATTTTTGCGAAATTTGCGAAATTCGTTCAAAACTTTATCAAAATTCGCTAAATTTATTCGAAATTTTCGCGAAACTCGAGTAATTCGTTCGAAGTTTTTGTGAAATTTGTTCAAAATTCATTAACCAGCTAAATCTTTTTTTTTCTTAATGTGAAATGGAAAAATTTTGATTTTTATCGAACGAAAATTAAACGAACCTTTAGCAAAGATGAGGTCGAAAATTTTGGCGAAAATACATCAAAATTAGCGAAAATTTTGAACGAATTTAATTTGAAAATTAAGTCCTTTGGCTCGGATAAAGCCTTAAAATGGCTGATTTTTTTTACAGCTGCGGGAAATGATAAATATGAGGACAGTATAAATTTCGTTCAGTGGTTTCTCAAGTCTCATTCTTTGTGGGCAACCTTGTATATGTGTGTTAACTATAGCTGGCTAAAACTTGACACTAGAGAGAAATTTAACTTATATAAAGAATGTTACATTAGCACACTTGGGAAAAAGAATTTATAGTTTTACTTTTAAATTACATCTTTTTAGAATATATTGAATAAATTTCCACATACCACTGGTAACTCCCATAAAACTGTGCAAGGTATAATTGTTGACTATTTACGCGTTTTATTCATGGAGAAGCATAGTTTAGTTTTTGTTTTTCCTTTTTAAGAGTGGACCACATGGTAGGGTGGGGCACTGCACACTTTAACCCCCCCCCCCTCAACCCATATATACGCCCCTGTTTCTTTTAACTTTTTAAGAGTGGACCACATGGTAGGGGGGGGGGGCACTACACACTTTAACCCCCTCCCCCTCAACCCATATATACGCCCCTGTTTCTTTTAACTTTTTAAGAGTGGACCACATGGTAGGGTGGGGCACTGCACACTTTAACCCCCCCACCCTCGACCCATGTATACGCCCCTGTTTCTTTTAACTTTTTAAGAGTGGACCACATGGTAGGGGGGGGGGGCACTACACACTTTAACCCCCTCCCCCTCAACCCATATATACGCCCCTGTTTCTTTTAACTTTTTAAGAGTGGACCACATGGTAGGGTGGGGCACTGCACACTTTAACCCCCCCCTCGACCCATGTATACGCCCCTGTGTCTTTTAACTTTTTAGGAGAAAACCACATGGTAGGGGGGGGGGCACTGCACACTTTAACCCCCCCCCTTCAACCCATGTATACGCCCGAAGCTGAAAACTTTAGAATGGTGGATATCGGGATTAAGGCTTAATCCACTCTTTTTCTTAATCTCGAGATTAAATATTGCTTGTTCTCCACTCATTTTTAATCTCCAGATTAATTATCCGATCAGGATTAAGGATATCCCATTCAAAAGCTTTCAGCTCATGTTTCTTATAACATTTTTAAGAGTGGACCACATGGTAGGGGGGGCACTGCACACTTTAACCCCCCCCCTCATCGACCCTTGTATACGCTCCTGTTTATTTTAACCTTTTTGTGACACGTTTACAATAATGTTATAAAAGAAAAAGAAATGTCCCGATTCCTAAGTGTTTGGTAAACAATATAAGCTTTATGTGTTTGAGTTTCCTTTAAAGAATCTGTGAAAGGATGGATACAAATATTTTTTGATTAAAGTGGTCTTTCATTAAAATAGAGTGGTATTCACAACGATACCCATTGACCCTCTATGTAAAGATGACAATGCCCGACTCACAACGGTACCCTTAAAACCTTTATCTGACCTTAATAAGTGTAAAAGTTTTTTGATAATTCCTTTTCTTTTCTGCAGGTAATATACGCATGTTACTTTTGCAGAGAAGCCACAATGAAAATAATCCGTTTTCAGAACTACAAACATTGATATATAATTTATACTTTATCAGACAGAACTTTAAAGGGTATCGTTGTGAATCAGGCATTACAATCTTTGAGTAATTGCTGCCTGTCCCTTTAATAAAATGATCTTACATAGCATGTTGGCTGATCATCTGAGTTTGATTGATTTAAAGAATTGATTTGTTGAGAAGATGATGTTTGGTTGATAGGGAAGGACCAATCACAACCTTCCTCATCCTAAAACATTACATATTATAACCAAAACATTTATTCTTTTGAAATTTAACCTTTCCCGATGTGTGGGGGGCGGGGTTTTGCCCCCCCCCCCCTTCCTCAAGAATATTCCATATAAATCGAATTAAGTTTGAGGTAGAATGATCTAACTTCTTGTCTTGGGCTTAACTTCATAATTGAGGGCAAATTTTTAAACAAAAATAATTAAAAATAGTCCAGAGCTGAAAACTTTAGAATGGTGGATATCAAGATCAATGCTTAAACTCCTGGTTTTACTAAACCCGAGATTATTTTAATACGCATTTGATATCAAAGAAAGAAGTTACAAATTTAACCAATCAGAGTGTCATGTTAAAATGTACTCTTTATAACTTTTGAAAAACCGGTTTTGATTTCTGGTGATGATGGTGTCATATCAATTGAACTAAGCACCGATTGAACGAACGTAGGTTTTGGATTGGAATGTTTATTAAGACTAACGTTCCAAATGACAATAGTCCTAAAATATGTTTTTTTTTAATAATTTCATATTAACATGATTAAATTTATATTTGTTTAAATTCTCAAAAAGCTGGCATGTGAACCGTTGAATTTAATTCAATCGGATATTAGTCCAATCGATATAGCATTGTATCTGTAATTGTTATCAAACGTAACTTTTATACAGTAGAAATATCCAAAAAGACGATTCTAAGAAGAAAATCAAAAGTTTGTACATTGGATAACCAGATTAAGCGATCGTGATTAAGGATATCTCATTCTAAAGTTTTCAGCTCAGAGCTTTTTCATTATTACAAATCTAAAATTTAATTCTTTAAAAAAAGCTTTAAATAGGGTAAAGTAACATTTGTCAAATGCTAATATTTGTCCAAAATAGAATTAAATTTTTAAAACATTTTTCCGGCGTACTTGTTTTTGTGGGCTGGCCATAAACAGTTGGTATCTCATCTCTAAGGGCTAAACCATGTAATATCAAAATAGCCCAATAGGGTTATCAAAACAGTGATACAGGTTATTGATACAATAGAACCCGTTATTACTATAGTGCAAGGGAAAATAGGAAACATTTAAGTGACAACGATGACAGAACCATGAAGTGCTTTGTCTGATCAAGTATGAATTAGATATTCATGTTTTTGTTTATTAAAACTGTTTATTTATTTTGTGGATTTTCTGCAAAAGTGACTTGAGCACTGTTTGCCTATGAAGCTGAGGAGAAATTAAACACTTTTCAATCAGGAAAAGGAATTATCTTCCGGCATTTGTTTTTATCAGATTGTGATTAGAATATGTCACAGTCGTCTTTCCTGGATCTCATGTAGTATAATGTTGAAATACCAGTATTATCTTTACCGCTTATGCCATCAGCAATTAACAATTGCATTATCAGTTTTACAATTTTATTTGAAAACCAATAAATATTGTCAATTTTTTATTTATCCATTAGACAAATCATTTCATTGTTATTTGCTGAAAAATCTGAACCCACTTAAAAAATTATCATGAAAGAAACAAATTTAGAAATGTTCCACTTTGAAGATAAATGGGTTTAACGGTTAAAATGTTAAATGATGAAAACATCTCAACGCATTTGAAAATCTTAAATCTTCATAAATATATACTTCTTCAAGTACAGGGTATCCCAAAAAGGATGAGACCTCTAAAACCATAAATATCTAAAGGAATTTTATTCTTTCCAATTGAAGATTTCACCATATATATTGATGCAATAAACTGAGGTTTAAGGTTTAATCATTGTGTTTGCATTACTTGCAGAGTTAAAATATAATTGTAACAATGTAAAAATAAAACTGACTGAAATCCGTACTGTCTTCTTTTACGAATTCTCCCTGCAGTGGTTTCCTTGCATAAATTAGAATGTATTTGAACCCAGGAGACAATTTCAAACATATTAATTTCAAACTTTAAGNGAAAACGTGGGGGGGGGTATATACTACTTAGAATGTATAAGGAATACCCCAAGGTATAAACCACCTGGAAAGTATAAGGTATACCCCAAGTTATAAACTACTTAGAATGTATAAGGAATACCCCAAGGTATAAACCACCTGGAAAGTATAAGGTATACCCCAAGGTATAAACTACCTGGAAAGTATAAGGAATACCCCAAGGTATAAACTACCTGGAAAGTATAAGGTATACCCCAAGGTATAAACTACCTGGAAAGTACAAGGTATACCCCAAGTTATAAACTACCTGAAAAGTATCAGGTATATCCCAAGGTATAAACTACCTGGAAAGTATAAGGTATATCCCAAGGTATAAACTACCTGAAAAGTATTAGGTATTTACCAAGGTATAAAATACCTGGAAAGTATAAGGTATACCCCAAGGTATAAACTACCTGGAAAGTATAAGGTATACCCCAAGGTATAAACTACCTGAAAAGTATTAGGTATATCCCAAGGTATAAACTACCTGGAGAGTATAAGGTATACCCTAGGGTATAAACTAGCTGGAAAGTATAAGGTATACCCCAAGGTATAAACTACCTGGAAAGTATAAGGAATGCCCCAAGGTATAAACTACCTGGAAAGTATAAGGTATACCCCAAGGTATAAACTACCTGGAAAGTATAAGGTATACCCCAAGGTATAAACTACCTGGAAAGTATAAGGTATACTCCAAGGTAGGTATATAATACCTGGAAAGAGTAAGGTATGCCCCAGGGTGGGTAGAAGAGTGGAGGAACAGAAATCATGGTGCTCAGTGTCCAAACTGTTATCAGCATCAAACAACAGATGTTAGGAGTCCTATTAAATAATCATGCATGAAAAGTGATTAATAAAAGTTTGTATCCTAATGTCTCGTAATGCCTTGGCTTCCAACTTTGCTTTTTAAAGGGACTGTAGGCGTAATTTTGAATGACACTCCAGTTTTGTTCTGGTGTCATTGATTTTAAACCTTTGATAGGATGTCAAACCATTTCCTTATACAAAGAATACGCAGAAAATCTAGTTCTTAACAGTTTGAAACCTGTTGAATATTTGTTATTTTGGAAGGACACAAGTAAAGGATCAGGTTTGTTGTTATACACAGAGGTCTCTGTCACTGAACAGTCATAGGTTTGATGGGTACCTATAAATTGGGCATTGCCTTTTTTGCATTGAAAGGGTCATTTGAAATTACGCTTAAAGCAGTCCCTTTAAACCACAAGCTTAAAGCAGTCCTTATAAACCATAATCTTAAAGCAGTCCCTTTAAACCACAAGCTTAAAAAAGTCCCTTTAAACCAGAAGCTTTAAAAAGTCTCTTTAAACCATAACCTTAAGACAGTTCCTTATAACATAAGCTTAAAACAGTCCCTTTAAACCACAAGCTTAAAACAGTCCCTTTAAACCACAAGATTAAACCAGTCCCCTTAAACCACAAGCTTAAAACAGTCCCTTTAAACCACAAGCTTAAAATAGTCCCTTTAAAACACAAGCTTAAAACAGTCCCTTTCACAAGCTTAAAACAGTTCCATTAAACCACAAGCTTAAAACAGTCCCTTTAGACCACAAGCTTAAAACAGTCCCTTTAAACCACAAGCTTAAAGCAGTCATATAAACCACAAGCCTAAAGCAGTCCTTTAAACTACAAGCTTAAAGCAGTCTTTTAAACCATAAGCTTAAAGCAGTCCCTTTAAACCACAAGCTTAAAACAGTTCCTTTAAAACACAAGCTTAAAGCAGTCCATTTTAACCATAAGCTTAAAACAGCCCATTTAAACCATAAGCTTAAAACAGTCCCTTTAAACCACAAGCTTAAAGCAGTCCCTTTAAACCACAAGCTTAAAAGAGTTCCATTTAACCACAAGCTTAAAGCAGTCCCTTTAAACCACAAGCTTAGAGCAGTCCCTTTAAACCACAAGCTTAAAAGAGTTCCATTAAACCACAAGCAATTTCGTTGTTAAAAATATCTACAACAGAAAAAACTTTGCAGGAACAACTTTGTGTTTCTGTCAAATCCAAACAAATTTAGAAAATAAATCCTACAGTGTGCCCTGTAAAACTGTGGAAGAGAAATACGACTGTCATGTTTTTGAATAGTTCAAAAAACATTAAACACAACAATTGTGCAGTGTAAACAGACACATTTTACTTAATAATTTGATTTGTGATCTGTAAAATATTTGCTTCATCAAATAAACACAAGACCGCTTAAATGTAGTTTTCATATGGTACAGTTTAATGGTTCACTCTGTATTTTTGTTTTAATATGTTTATATTTACCTCCAGTTGACGTATTCTATGGCCTTGGTTATCGACCTGAAAAAAATAGTCGAAGTAAGGAATAGTATTAATTAAAAAAAATATTTTAATAGATTCGTGAATGATGAGAAAGAAATGACAATGTATTCCTGTAGGTAGACCATAAATCCAATTTGAAACCTTTTTATTTTTGTTTTAATATGTTTATATTTACCTCCAGTTGACGTATTCTATGGCCTTGGTTATCGACCTGAAAAAAATAGTCGAAGTAAGGAATAGTATTAATTTAAAAAAAATATTTTAATAGATTCGTGAATGATGAGAAAGAAATGACAATGTATTCCTGTAGGTAGACCATAAATCCAATTTGAAACCTTTTTCCAAGAGATTTCGTCTATTCAAACAAAAAAACCCTACCTCCATCACGGAGCAACCCAAACCAAATACTTCCGACACCAAGACACAAGAATCATTGAAAAGTGAAAACGTTTAAAAATAGTAAATGCTTAAAATCCGTGATTAACCTGCAATCATCAACAATTTTATTTAACCAACCAGGTATTTATTTTTCAGAAGTCATAAAACGTGTTAAACCAGATCCCATCAACACCTTATTTTCCCACACATATCCCACAATAGGAAGTTTATATCATCAAATATTAAAAACGTTTATTATGCCAATATTTTATTTACTAAAACTGTATTTTGTGTGTAGGTTTGAAATAAAGTTATTTTATTTGCAACACTTGTATATGTGTAGTAGAAGAGATATCAACTGGATCAACTCTACCCTTTTGTTTTCTACAATACGATTCTTTTAAAATTAAAAACAATTACTGATAAAGATTTAAAGATTTAAAAAAGAATGATATTTTTTGAATGATCGTTTTAAAAACAAACTCATTAACATGAATAACCGATCAATTAGCAAATTTAATTCAGCCTAAAAACAAGCGAAAAACAAAATTAATTTTATTTTGTTCCATGATGAAAATGGAAAAAACCTAGTCCGTTTCGTGAAGTATATAGATCAAATATGATTGCTTTGATTGTGTTATCCAAAAGCCATTAATACATAAAGTAACTCAAAAATGCTTACATCCATTTCCAAGACAAAATTCGTGATATTATTAGAATAAATTTTGAAATTAATAAAAAAAAAATTTCTGTTTTAAAAAGCTTAGAATCAACTCTTATTTCGTCCGTGTTTAGTAAAATCTAAGCTTATATATTTTTACTCTTTACAGACTGATGTTCCGGATTTCCTTCAAATATGGAGGAATGGGTGTATATAAAAAAGATTGTAAAACTATTTTATAAAAATATAAGCCAAAAAGAAAGAGAAGAAAAGAAAAATACAAATTTAAACTGAAAGAATTAAGAAATATTATTTGCCCGGAAAATTAAATGTGTTCTTTACTTAACAGAATAGGTTTTTTTAACCCTATTGATGGAATTAAATTGGATTTAGTCTGAAGTTTAGGCATTTTTACCATTTTACAAAAACTCAACAAATATCTAAATGACCAAGCATTCAACAAATAATCATTTAAAAGAACTGCTGTACGATTGATTTAAAAATGGTCACAGTCGAATTTAATGAATTTGAGCCGCGACTCAAATTGACCGAAAACCGGTTTCAATTGAAACATTCAATACAATTTTAAGGGAAACCAACCATAATTGAGCTGCGTCTTAAATTTTAGCCGCGGCTCAAAATCTTTATATTCGGCCTCAGCATTTTTATATTGTTTTGTAAAAACAAATGTTTAGCTTGTAAAGTTATATGCAGTTGTATTCTTTAAATAATCTATCAACCCTGAACTTTCGGACAGGGTTTCATTTTAAGGGTAAAGCAAGCTCAAGGGAAGAATTCCAATCAAATAATACAAAATTGTCCGAGTCTGAACGTAATTATTCATACCATATCCTCGGTAATTAAGAAACCAGAGCTGGAAAATTTAGAATGGTGGATATCGGGATTAATGCTTGATCCACTCATTTTCTTAATCTCGTGATTAAATTATGCTTGTTCTCCTCTTGTTATTAATCTCCAGATTTATTTAGCGATCAGGATTAAGGATATCCCATTCTAAAGTTTTAAGCTCAGACCACTTTTCACATGTACCCGGCCAGCCTAAGTTTGTTGAAACTTCTAGAGCTTTATATAAATCAGTTTTAATTATGGAATGAATCCGGTCTAACTGACGAGAACAGTAGAGGGGATTTAATGGAAGATTCGTTAGATAAAAGAATTTTAATTTTAATTTAATTAGAGTTATAAATCAAGAATTAAAACTTTCAGAATTTTCAAGAAATATTGAATTGGAGGGGATGGATAAAGTTAATTTTTTTATACTTGACTGAATTAATTGCTGTTTGCGTTGATTTGTAAAACCACAAAAACTATTCAAATAATGAGATAATATTTATTAATATTTTGAGGGGACAATTTAAAATGAACTTCTTTCAATTACTATTTATATATTCCCCCCCCACTTTTCATCCATACTTTTTCTTTAAGCAAGGTTAACAAAAGAAAAGAGATAAAGACTCTTCCAGGCGTTGAATTGATAAATTAAGTGGCTGGATATGGAAAACTAGATTAACCAGAAGACCAACTTCACAATTTAAATTTTTCACTAACTGAGCTTCCAGGGCGCTTCGTGCCCATCTTTTATTTTAACTTTTTTTTTTTTTACTCTATAATTGGGGAAATTTATCTTTTGATCTTTTTAAATTATTAAACAATAACTACAAAAATGTTGTAGATTATCAAATTTTTTTTGTGGATTTTCAAAGACCAAAATTGTTGCAGGGAAAATGTTTTAATTCTAATTCCATTATCCTTCCCTGGGATCATGTGAGGTCACTTAAAATTTTGGTCCGATCGGTTCATTCGGTTTTATGTTCTTGAATACAACCTGAGTCCGTTCCTTCCATAAACTACATTCGTCGACAACTTGACGTCTCCTATAAATTACGGATGTACGGATGTACGGAGAAATATCTATCTATCAGATAAGAATTTAGCATGAGACATCGAGCGGCCAACAAATCGTCCCCCAAAGTACGTGAACTACACGACCACTATATGGAGAGAATTGGCTCAGGCAAACAATCAAAGTAATATATTCACATTTTGATCAGTCGCAGCTGTCCAAGTCTAGTTTTAATCTAATGGATGCAGAGAAATCAAATTCGGGACCAAGCTTTGGTTTCCATACCTACCGTTTTCTAGAAAGATCTGTGATCAAACAAAACGCAACAGGGGGTGAATTGGTATTTCTCTCTAAAATTTATTAATTTATTGGTATTTCACTCTAAAATTTTAATTTTCCACCAGAGGAAATTTAAGCAATAACACAGAGATAATGCTGTACTTTATGTTTCCTCATAAATCCAGTTTTCTATTTCAGATTTAGAGTTTCTATTACTAACCAGGATGTTTGAATCAGACAAAGTTTGAAATGAAGTTTCAAGTTATAACTAATATTCAGCTACAGGCTTGATTAGTAAATACATATATATTATATTGTAAAAATTTACAAAATTAATATCATCTTCGTTCTTTCTTTTGATTGAAAATTTTAACAACGTATTTTGTAATTTTTTATCATCTCAACATATAACATTTTTGTTTTAAGATTAGATTATGATAACAAAAACTTTTAAAGCTTCATCATAAAATAGGACATGGTTAACCCACGAGATATCTAAAAGAAATTAGCACAACATGCAAAAGTTATTTAAAACTTAATCTATTTCATCTGACATGAAATAAAGTTTAAAACATACATATATACGGTTGCAAAGATATAGAAATGTAAAAATTAAAGTTCCTTTTTGTTAGAATTTTTAATTTACCAATATCTATCCAATGCAATTAGGCAGAGATGAAGAATTGAAGAAGTACACAGTAGTACATCAAGGGCAGAGTGTATCTAAATAGGACATTGTATGTACGTACACAGTAGACAGTACACAGTACATCAAGAGCAGAGTGTATCTAAATAGGACATTATACACAGTACACAATAGACAGTACACAGTACATCAAGGGCAGAGTGTATCTAAATAGGACATTGTATGTACACAGTACACAGTAGACAGTACACAGTACATCAAGGGCTGATTGTATCTAAATATAGTAAATTGCATGTACATTGTACACAGTATACAGTACACAGTACATTAAGGGCAGAATGTATCTAAATAGTACATTGTATGTACACTTCAGTACATCAATGACAGAGTGTAACTAAAAAGTTTATTGTATGTACACAGTATACAGTACACAGGAGAACATCAAGGGCAGAGTGTATCTAAATAGTCCACATTGTATATAAACAGTACATCAAGGGCAGAATGTATCTAAATAGTACATCGTATATACAGTACACAGTTCATCAATTTCAGAGTGAATCTAAATTGTACATGTATGTACATATTCCGCAGTACACTGTAGAACATGGAGAGCCTAGTAAATATCTAAATAGTACACTGTACATTTGTAAGGATCATATGTATACACAGTGGACAGTATAAATAATTTGTTTTAATTAAAAACTTTTAGAAAAGACTTTTCCACTTTTTTGATCAAGACATATAGTTTAAAGGGTACCCTTGTATATCGCGCAAGTAGCTCTTTGTTCCTTTAAAGCAACTTCCCTATGGCTGTACCTGACACCAATAGTATCCGAAGGGCCACTGTCCAGTAACTTCCTGGAAATATATTCTATAATCTTCAAAATGTTTGTATTAAAATAACAATTTTTTATGAATGACTTTATTTAAGATATTCTAGTACACATTATTATGTGCTTTAAAATCATTAATAATACTTTATAATGATCAAACACTTCAGAATTAATAAGACAACATAATAAAACAAAAATAAAATTAGAATTGATCAAAATGTTGTTAATTTATTAATTTGTTAATTTGTTAATTTGGTAATTTGTTAATTTGTTAATTTTTTAATTTGTTAATTTGTTAATTTGTTAATATGTTAATGTGTTAATTTGTTAATTGTTTAATTGTTGAATTTGTTAATTTGTTAATTTGTTAATTTGTTAATTTGTTAATTTGTTAATTTGTCAATTTGTCAATTTGTTAATTTAATAATTTGTTAATTTGTTAATTTGTTAATTTGCTATTTTGTTAATTTGTTAGTTTGTTAATTTGTTAATTTGTTAATTTGCTATTTAGTTAATTTGTTAGTTTGTTAATTTGTTAATTTGTTAATTTGTTAACTTGTTAATTTGTTATTTTTTTAATTTGTTATTTTGTTAATTTGTTAATTTTTTAATTTGTTAATTTGTTAATTTGTTAATTTATCTACCTGATATAAGGAAAATGGAACAACAACCACCCCTATGAGCATATCAGTAACAGCTAGCGAGGCTACACAATCAAAATGATCAATCATTGAAATAATCTCCTGCATACTCAATCAATTAATTAATTAATCAACTAATCAATTAATCAATTAATCAATTAATTAATCAATTATAGTTTATCATTCATTCTTTTAATACACCAATCAGTAAATCAACTAAGCAATGAAATTTCTTATAAACTAATCAATTTATACTAAAGAACCACTAAATTACATTATTAATCAGTTAACCAATTAATCAATCCACCTATTAATCGATCAGTTAACCAATTAATCAATCCAACTATTAATCAATTAACCAATTAATCAATCCAACTATTAATCGATCAATTAACCAATTAATCAATCCAACTATTAATCGATCAGTTAACCAATTAATCAATCCAACTATTAATCGATCAGTTAACCAATTAATCAATCCAACTATTAATCGATCAGTTAATCAATTAATCAATCCAACTATTAATCGNTTACTATTTTACTATTTTACTATTTTACTATTTTACTATTTTACTATTTTACTATTTTACTATTTTACTATTTTACTATTTTACTATTTTACTATTTTACTATTTTACTATTTTACTATTTTACTATTTTACTATTTTACTATTTTACTATTTTACTATTTTACTATTGCTGTGGCTTATTCTATGTATTTTAAATTTTAATTAGATTGAATAAGAGCAAAAATCATATCTGGAAAGTTGACGTAAAAAATTCTAAAACTTCTGAAACATGTGGAATGTTTGCAAAATGCAATTTTGTGCACATTGTGCAAAATATTTGCAATGGTTTAACTTGTAATACCTGGAGATGGCAAGAATAACAAGAAGGTTTCCAAGAAAAATGATGAGAATGATAAACACAAGAGGAACTGTCACAAAAATACTCTTCCAGTTACTGAAATAAACTTAAATTACTAAATATCCTTCACATTACTGTTGCTTTCGAACAGTATAAAAATAAGAAAAAGAAAGAAAAAAAAACAAGTGTTAATTTTGATTCTTGATTCTGATGCGTACTTTCGATGGAGAAATTATTAGAATTAAACACTTTTTGCATCTGAAAAAAATCTTCCCAACTTTTATCAAATAAAGGATTCAAGGGTACCATTGTAAATCAGGCATTTACGCTTGCATAACCTTTAACATTTTCTCAACCATTGAAAAAGATTGTTATACTTCCTCTAAAGCTCATTTTTATTTCTTGTGTTTAAAAAAAATTCTTCATTAATAAATTTTTTTTTGTATATTTTTTATCTGATCTATTTTGCTGAAGATGGTATACACAGGAAGGAAAAATGTCTATTTGTAACAATAACTGGGTCTTTTTAACGTTTATGTGTCTCCACTCTCAATCAAATATGCAAACATGAAATCAGACATCTCCGACATCTGACAAGACAAAAATTGAGAATTTAATCTAAGAAATGTTTACTTACACCGCTATTCCAGGATTCATCTCAATTTCCATTTTATTCCTGCAAATATTTATATATTTTACCAGAATATAGGAGACCCTCAGTAGTAATACATTGTATTTACGAGGTATGTTCAATAAGTTTTGCGAAATTTTTTAGAGGTACATCTAGACGTCCCAGCCCAGAATTTTTCAAAGAATTTCCAATATCTATAACGGTTTAATTTTCCAGCCAGCTAATGTCGATAAGTTAGTATGTTGGACTCCAGGAGACAACCCAGTTTTAGGTTGCTTGTCACAACCTAAATATCTCATCAGAGCTGAAAACTTTAGAATGAGATATCCTTAATCCCGATTACTTAATCTGAGTATCCAATGGACACACTTTTGATTTTCTTCTTGAACCGTTCTTTCTTGGATATAGTAGAGAAAAATCAAAAACCGGGTTTTCTAAAGTAGAGAGTCCATCCCGTTTCTGTATAAAATCTTAAATGGCGAGCAAAATTTCAAATTTATCGCGACTCTGATTGGTTGAATTTTATAAACATTTTCAGGATTAGGTTAGTCTCAATATTAAGAAAAAGGGAGGATCAAACATTACTCTTGATATCCACCATTCTAAATTTTTCAGCTCTGTAGACTTTTATCAATTGAAGCGTGCTCTAGAGATTTTGTAATAACTCAAAAATTGAAGGATTATAAAAAGGATCCTTCAGAATTTTCTAATTTTAATCTACGCTTCAGCCAACAATTAGTATATTTTCCAAGGACCTTTCAGAACAAATGTAATCCTTATCCAAATCTTTCTTATTTTCAAAATTCGCTTCACAACTTTGTATGCAGCACAGTAGCTGATGTCAAACTTATTGAAAATCATTAACTTAGAACCCTTCAAAACTTGCTTTGTCCAAACATGAAAACAATTCCTTTACATGGAGTGTTCAAAAAAAAAATTGAAGTGGATATACAGGTATGATATTTAATTGAAATCAATATCCATCACCACTTATTCTAATTTTATCTGTTGTGTCTTTAAGGAGAAAATGGTTAAAAAACGTTTTATCATTAATTCCTAAAAGTTTAGCGTCCATTTAAATTCCCAGAGTTGCACTATTCCACGCAGATCGGTTATAATTCAATAATAATTCGAAACTAATCATTCAAATATTACAACCAATAAATGTCGAATTTAATTCGATTTATTCGTGTACAAGTAGTTCATATTTTTATAATAGTTCTTTACTTTTTAGAGATTTCGGTGATTTCGATCAAATAATATCAATTCGATATCAGCTGATTGCCCCTTTAATTTTTTACCAACACTCCCTTTATTCTATATTTTCTAGTCACCATAATGGACTCGGCATACAGGAGTGTAGTGCAGTGTTTGAGAAGTATTGACACAATAATGGTTGGATTTAAACCACAGCACTAAGATGAACAGACAAGATATGAACTTGAAAACATGTTTTTCAGAAATTCACAAACAGTTCTCAATAAAAACCATGGATATTAAAGTTTAAAGTTAGAAAAAAGAGATTAAAGCCTAAGTTGAAAGTTGCATGAAATTTCTAGTTTGATCAAAGACTGAGATTAAGAAAAAAAAGAATTTAATATTATTTCTATAACAATTACTTTCAGTACAGACCAGTTATAGCATAGAAAGGAACTGCAGACTGCTTTGTATTACTCGCCTTAAACTCTAATTTTCTAATCAAAACATCTTTACAACTTGATGTCAAAGATAGAATGCTAACGGTTTATTCCAGTATTAGTGGCGTGAAGCGCCGAAAAAATTCGTTTACAGTTAAAAATCGTCAACGGTGCTGCCGTTAACTCGGTCTTTTGTAGTATTAACGACATGTTGAACATATCCAAATCAACTATGTTTATCCTATTCTGAGGAGAACCCATAGTCTTTCACTCCTTTCACGGCTGGACAAACTCCAAATTTGTTTTATCAAAATTCAAATTTAAATTTAGAAGACGACATTTAAAAACATCAAAACACTTAAACATTCATGAATCATGATATTAACTAAAAGCATCAAGGAATGAAAGATACAACGAAAATAGTTTTGAATAATTGATATGAACTGAAATACCTTTTTAGAATGTCCAAGGTGTTTTAAATAATAATTTTTTTTTAAATTAGTTTTCTTTATTATCATTTTGAAAACAGAAACACCTCTTTTATTGTTTAATAAAATTGGTCTATGAAAATATAAAAAAAATCTTAACTAGGAGTCTGAAGTATATATTTCATACAATGATAATATTGCAGAAAACAATGGAATAGAAAGACAACATTATAGCAAAACTCAAGCGTTTTGTTACAAAGCCAATATTTTTACTAGTAACTTAGCAAAACACTATTAAAGTGAATACACAATAATGGTTGGATTTAAACCACAGCACTAAGATGAACAGACAAGATATGAACTTGAAAACATGTTTTTCAGAAATCCACAAAATTTTCAATACAAATTATGGATATTAAAGTTTTTAGTTAGAAAAAAAGAGATTAAAGGCTAGATGGAAGTTGCATGAAATTTTTAGTTTGATCAAAGGCTGAAATTAAGAAAAAAAGAATTTAATATTATTTCTATAACATTACTTTCAGTACAGACTAGTTATAGCATAGAAAGGAACTGCAGTCTGCTTTGTATTACTCGCCTCAAACTCTAATTTTCTAATCAAAACATCTTTACAACTTGATGTCAAAGATAGAATTCTAACGGTTTATTTCAGTATTATAGTGGCGTGAAGCGCCGAAAAATATTCGCTAACGGTTAAAAAATCTTCAACGGTGCTGCCGTTAACGGTCTTTTGTACTATAAACGGCGTTAACGGTTTGTCAAATCGTTAAAGGCAGTTAAACTATATTTTTCTAGATATCTAAAACAACTATTCTGAGGAGAACCCAGTTTCTTTCACGGCTTGACAAACTCCAAATTTTTTTATCAACATTCAAATTTCAAATTTAGAAGACGACATTTAAAAACATGAAAACACTTAAACATTCATGAATCATGATATTAAATAAAAGCATCAAGGAATGACTGATACAACGAAAATAGTATTGAATAATTGATATGAACTGAAATACCTTTTTAAATTGTTTTCTCATATCTTTATATTTCTATTACTAATACGCAATGCGGCATGCATCTCACAAAAAAAGGAAACTATTTAAAACTAAAAATATATTTTCGCAAATACTGAGATTTACGTAAATAGTGTTTAGCTCATTGAAAAATTGTCAAGACGACATTTGATAAATTCTTTTGATGCATGGCTTATTTAGGGTTTACTGTAGCAAAACACTATTTAAGTGAAATGGGTCTATTTACACTGTACAATTGCTATGTCTAATGTTCATAGAGTTATAGTTTAAGTCCTAACTTGAGTTTAAAAGTCATGTTCCTATTACAGAGTTTTCTGGTTATCACTGTAAAAATTCATCAAACACGTAATAAAAAGGATTCATTAAATTATTATTCAGCGTTCAAAAAAGAATAGATGATCACCAACATTATTACCTTTGATTAGATATGTGAAATATTTTATTCTTTCACGTTTTCTCCAACTACAGGGTTACCCACGAAGGTTGAGACTGTAACGACGACCTGAATCTCTTAAAATATGAAGATTCCAAGGTTAAAATAAGTCCTGTGACTTAAAGATAGTGATTTTAAGGCCTTTCCGATTAGATTATTTCGCAGAGAAAAACACACGTTTTCAGTTGTACAGAATTATAAATGTGAGGAAACAGACAGTATAAATTCTGTACAGTCGTCTCTGAAGTCTCATCCTTTGTGGGTAACCCTGTATCATAAGTCCTTCCTAATTTATGAAGGAGAAAATTTATGTTGTTTATTATGGAAAATTTGTTTTAAATGGGATTTTAAATAAAAAATTGGAAATTTACCGCTTTTTGTTTTACTTTTAGGGGGATTAAATGTGAGGAAACAGACAGTATAAATTCTGTACAGTCGTCTCTGAAGTCTCATCCTTTGTGGGTAACCCTGTATCATAAGTCCTTACTAATTTATGAAGGAGAAAATTCATATTGTTTATAATGGAAAATTTGTTTAAAATGTGATTGTAAATAAAAAATTGGAAATTTACCGCTTTTTGTTTTACTTTTAGGGGGATCCAGGGGCCCGCCTCCCCTCCTGAGATATTGGTTTTATTCGCCCCTGACTCCCCCCCCTCTCTATACACTCCTCCCTCTTGAAGTTATCCTGAGAGATAAGACCATCATTCTATCAACTTTTCACAATAAATATTTCACAAACTCATATAAATTCTTCCACCGGGAAAACATTTGATACTTTTTACTTGCGCACTGTCCTGTCACTACAATATAGGGGGCAGGGGGGTTA